TGGCCCCACCACAGAGCCTGCACCCCCCGCCTGGAGCCCTCTCTCCCTCCCGCATCCCAATGCCCTGCCTGAGCCTGGAGCCCCCTCCCACACCCAGAACCCCTCATTTCTGGCCCCACCCCAGAGCCTGCACTCCCAGATGGAGCCTTGCACTTCAACCCCCCAACCCAGCCCAGTGAAAATGAGCGAGCAACAGAGGGAGGGAGGATGGAGTGAGCGTGGGCGAGGCCTGAGAGAAGGGGCGGGGTGGGGCCTCAGAGAAGGGCGGGGCAAGGCAAGGGTGTTCGGTTTCCTGCAATTAGAAAGTTGGCAACACTACTCCAGAGCCAGGCCCCATGGTCCTGCCCATCTCTCACCCCATAGGGGCCAAGCAGCCCCTCCCACCACTGCTCACCTTGAGCTTCTCGACCCACTCTTTGGCTGATGCAAAGGTGGCCAACTGCACTGCAGAGCCCACCATGACGCGGGGCACAGCGCCGTTCACACCCCGCCACAGGCCCACGAGCCCCTGCTTCCTGTAGATGGTCTCAAAGGCGCTGGAGACGCCCTAGGTAGAGAATCAGAGAGGTGAGGAGATATTAAAGTGGCAGAAAACAGGAGGATTTAGGGATCTCTGGGAGGAAGGGGGGAATCTCTGGGTCGGTCCAGTACCCCAGTGGGCAGGGCGTGCTGCATCCAGTCAGCGGCTCTGATGTAGCTCAGGGCCACCTGAGTGACCCTGTGCCAAGGACGCAGCCGAGCAGAGGATGTGCCTGTAAATTAGTATCTGAGATAAGCAGGGCCAATAACTGGCAGGATTCCACTGACATAATCCCCTTACAGGCGACTTCGCGGCTACGCCCCGCAGCCTGGGACAGACACGTACAGTGTGTCCTGGCCACCCCGTACCTACGGCCCACGAGGAGGCCTTTGCTTCCACCGCCCCTAGGAGCGGAGCCAATAAAAGTGCCGAGGACTTTGGAACCTGCTCCGTGCGGCTGCCGCGCAGAGAAACACAAACAGCCTGGTGGAGCCAGAGTCCCCAGCAGCAAATGGCCCATGACAACAATCCGCCCCCCCAGGCCCGTTCCTCCCATTCAGCAACTTTCTTGTTGAAAAACACTCCGCGTCGTCATCTGCAGGAGCGTTAATGGGAGTGAGTCACCGTGTACAGAGCAAGGCAGCAGCGGGAACCTCGACAAAGGGGCCCACGGAGGGAACAGGACCAGTGCACTCCAGGGGAACAGGCATGAAAACCCAGTGGTTCCCTGTTCCACACAGGTGCAAGGGTCCTTCACGCCAAACAGAACAGCCAGCACACGCAGACAGCATGTGCTGCTACATGTCACACATTCACCACGTGTGTCATGGACACATGCACACACAGCCACCATTCATGTCACATCCATGTAGCCACCTGCCACACATCACACTCAGGCACACACATCCACTGCCCTCGCCGTTCTCATGGGCACCCAGGCATTTCCACTAGATTTGCACACATGGACCCAGCATGCACTGCATGGCACACTTACACATCCATGCAGGCCCACTTGGATTTACTATGCAAAAAACTACATGTGCACACACTCATCTCACACGCACACACACACTCACACGACCCCCATAGTGCTATACATTCAGACCCCCTTTGCACATCGTCCTACTGTGGAGAACATAGGAATTCTCTGTATTGATTTTTATTACTCTAATATAGCTGCACATAATCTCTGTGGGTTTGGACGCTGAGGTGCTGCTGACTAAAAGGCAGCTAAGGGTTAAATCCTGCAGGACCCATGGACAATGGCTGAAGACAGAATCAATCCCCTGGTGCGCAGTGGGACAACACCGAGAAGCTACTGTGCAAAGAGCAGGAAGTCTGGAGACATGCAGAAACTAGTCTGGCCAGGTTCAGGTGCCCAGCACATAATCACAGGCGATCATCAGGTGGGACTGGGTTGTGGAAGGGATAAAAAGACAACCTGTGATTTCAGAGGGCAGAGATACTGATGGGGTGACAGACTATCCAAGATGCAGCCATTACAAGATGCAATTTGTCTCCCCACAGCTGGGTGCCCCGTGGACCCTACTGGCAAGGAGAGGCTTAGGTTAGGCGACAGAACCCATTTTATTATTTTAACCCTGTTTCTCTCTGCTCGTTAAATTTCAGTGAACCAATAAACCAAACTTGGCTTTGATCAAGCTGCCCAGAGGCACCACAAGTTCACACTGGTCACAAGCTCCGGAGAGAATTCTATACCCCGACTCAGAGCCGGAGGGGTCAGAGGTGGTAATATGATGTGTAAAGGGGAGGGGGTTTAGCCAGGTGACCCCTGAGATTCCATTTAAAAGAGGGGCCTAAAGCGAGACAGACAGAGAGAGATCCGGCTGCAGCTCACCCTGGAACCCCAACACGGATACATACACAACGCACACTCGACACCCAGCACAGCCACGCAGTCCCCGCAGCGTCCTGTGCACACAACACTCCTCATCCCACCACCAGCGTTAACTGCTCCAGGTCACACGCACGAACCAGGGAGGACTGGGCAGATCCCAGAACCCGCTGCTCACCTGGTGGTTGTGCTGATGCCCCACAGCCATGGCTGCCACCGTCTGGGCTTGCAGATGCGTTTTGACCTGTCACGATGAAAGGGAATTGGCCAGGTTAGAAAGGAGCAAGTTGCCAGGCTGCACCCAGCCCCTCGTAGCAAGTGAGACACCCGTGTGGTGGGGCTGGCTCACTGAACCACTCCAGCTCCTCCTCGTCTCTTCCCGTGCAAGGGAGTGAAGATCCAGGCCCCAACTTGCAACCTGTCCTAGTGATGGGGGAAACAACAGGGCACCCACCTCCATGGGCTCCACCCAGACTCATCACAAAGAGCTCAAGTCCAGGAGGTCCTTTCCCAAACCCTCCCACCGACGCCCTCTGGGTAGGCGCCGCTGCCAATGATCCAAGTACCACCACTGCTGTGACCCACACTGGGAGCCAGCATCCTCCCCCACGACCCTCCTTGGGCTGCCCATGCTCCCCTCACAAGGGTATAACTTGACTAACAGGAAGTTTCTTCTCTAATTTACCCCCCACGGATCCACTACGGGGTTTATTGCATCCTTGTCTGAAGCAGCTGGTGCTGGGACGTGACACTAGAGTAACTGGACCCCGGGTCTGATCCATGTCACAATTCCTCTGCTCCTACGCTGAGCAGGGTCAGACCTTCGCACGGGAATCCTCTGAGGAGGAGCAGGGGAGCTGCTGGAAGTGGGGCTGGGGGTCCAGTAGGCGTCTACCTGTTAGCTTAGAGGCATGAGCCCCAGTGTTGTGGCCAAATTCCGCGCTGGTTAAGTACATTTCGCCGCCCTGAATACCCCTGCGCTTTCATTCACTTCCTCTCCTCAGCAGCTGTATCACGTTGCTGTGCGCTGTTAAACAGCTACCACATCCCACCCCAGAGATGGCTGCATTTACAGTAGTGGGGGAAGTGATTCCAGGTTGCCAGGCTGCACCCAGCCCCTCATAGCAAGTTAGACACCCATGTGGTAGGGCTGGGTGCAGCCTGGCAACCTGGAATCGCTTCAGGATGAAAAGCACTAGAGAAATCCTTATGCCCCTTCAGCTGACCCCCTTCTTGACATGCTAGAAACCAATCAAGAGCTTGTGATCTAGTGATGTTAAAGTGGCTTTTGGATCAGTTGACTGGTGACCAACTGGCACCGCCGATGGGTCACGTGGGTTTATTACCAGGGAAGGAATTTACTTCCCCAGACTCACCCGACAGCACACGTTCCCTCTGCTAAGCCAAGGAGTGGGGTTCTGTCCACTCCCGGCCTTGATTTTCTTTTGGCAGAAGCAGATGGCATTTGATTTCCTCACAATTAGTGTGAGCTCAGCAGATGTGATTCCGAAATCAGAGCTGAGGAGGGGGAAAAGTATAACCCCACCATCCGCACTCACCCTTCACCCACCTGCCTGGGTTCCCGTCTAATGAGACTGATTTGCGGGCTGCTAGGGGGAAAGGGTCCCGCGGGAGCTCAGGCACCTGGGAAAAATGAACAATTTGCCTCTTTGTAAGCCTGCCTGTCCCCCCAGCACTCACCCCAGCAGAGAGGAGCTGGGGCGGGGGGGAGTTGCATGAGTCTCCGCCTGGCTCCCTTTCAGACTTTGAGCCCTGTTTTCTTCCCTTGCAGCTGTCAACCCCCAGTCTCTCCTCCTCTCCAGAGCCCAACTAACTCCCTCTTTAGAGGGCTGGATAAAGGTCATCACCACCTCAGCTCGGGGCTTCACGGGAGCGACTGTGGTAGGGCAGGGGCAGACCCCCCAACGCAGCATCTCAGCTGAGCTCAGACGCTGTTCCCAAGCCACCATCCAGACTGAGCAGCTGTGTGCCCATGGGACGGTCTCCCCTCCACTGACTCTCATAACCCTTCTATCCCCATCCAGAGCAGTGACCCCAGGCTGAACGGTTTCTCGTATCTGTTTTCCCCACACAGCCCAACTCTGCCAGTGTCCCCAGGCCTGACCCACAGAACCCTGGCTGCTCCAGTCCTGAGCTGTCCACTCCAGCTACGCCAAGCCCCTCCGTCCTGACCACAGCCCCTCTGCCTTGTCTTGGGTTCTCCCCTACAGTTCTACTAGTGCCCCTCAATCCTGACCCGCAGTCTCCCTAGTCTGCCCCCACTCTGACAGAGGCCCCACTCCTGTGACCTGCTGCGCTTCAGCCTAGCTCACGCCCAGGTCTGCCCGGCAGAGAGCATACCAGATTTGGTGGTACCCTTGCAAATGTGCACGGAAAGGGACTTGCCAAGGCCAAGACCAAACCCTCTCTCTCTCACGACCTTATTAAGATTGAACCCAGGTGTCCGGCGCACTGCAAGTCTCCTCCAGAACTCATTGCCCCATGGAACGCACTCCACCCAAACTGTTCTGTAAACACTCCAGCAGCGCAGAGATGGGCTGACAGGGACGGGCAGGTGGGGGCGATGGCTGCAGGCCAGAAGAGTCATCCAGCTGCTCTCCCAGCTCAAGTCCCCTGCAGGGCCCCTGTGAGCCATCCCTCTGGCACTGCTGGGAATTCTTCATACAGGCCAGGCTGGGAAGGGGGCCATAAACCAGGTGCTTCACAGGGACTCCAGAGGCAAACCCAGGCCTTAATGACCCAGAAATGTCACTGGAGGCCACCCACCGAGTGACACTGACACACGATGCAGCATAAACACGATGCACGTTCATAACAACTTTACAGGTGGCAGGAGCCCTCGTCTCCCCCCACCCCCTTCCGTTGACCCACTTTCTCTCATTAGAGACCCTGGTGCTATCCGGATGGGAGCTGCCACTTCTATCAAAGGGAAATCATAAGCTGGGGGGGACCCCACTCTCCTCTCAGGAAGCATAGGAGCTTTTCCAGCAGCAGAGACAAGGATACAGTTAAAACCTTTCTGCAGGAGAACGGGGCCTGTGATAGTCTAGCCCTCCCTTGTGTATCTATGGGGCGCGGTGGTGCTACTTTCTCAAAGAACATTGCGCTGAAGTCCTGGGTCAGTCTCAAATATTAACCTCCCCTCCCTCTTTTGTTTCTGGTCGGTTCTGTGGTCTCAGGGGGGTTTGGTTTGTTTCCAGGCCTGTGGGCGAGGTTCCCGCCCCTCACCAATGTTGACAGCTGGCTTGGAGGTTACCACCAGCTCACCTATCCCTGCACAGCTCTGGGGGCTTTGGCATGGCAGGGTTTGTGGGAGCATTTGCATCAGTTTCACCCATTTGGGTTGCACTTGGGGTTCAAACAAGCCCCGAATCTCCATGCAAAATGCAACTGGGGCCGATCCGTTCCAGACCGAGAGTCGTTATTATGGGGGTGAATCTCCACCCAGAGCCACGGGGGGAGACAGAGCTACCCGCTTGCGGGCTGAATGGCCACGCGTGGCACAGCTCCCTGAAGGGATGTGGCCCAATATCTAGTTTGCTCCCCCAGGAGGGGTCTCCTGGGATAAGGGATTGCTACTAGCCTGGTACCCTGTGACCACAGCATCCCAGCTGCCCCACAAAAGCCGCCCCCAGCAACGCAGCCCCCACCTCCGCCCCTGTGGAGAATCACACCACTTTTCCGCTTGCAGGGGGCAATCCATGGAGCCGCCCCGGCAGTGACCCCGAGTCCTGTCCCCTCCTCGCCCCAACCAGCCCCCTGCCTCCCCCTAACTCACAGGGGCAGCAGTCCTCCAGCACACCCAGCAGCGGGGGCGGTTTCCCCAGCACCTGCCCAGGGGGCCAAGTCTCCAGACTCTCCCGCAGGCGTCTCGCCGCCCCCAGCCCTGACCTGCCGCCCCCAGCCCTGACCTGCCGCCCCCGGGTTTGTTTCCACCGCCCCGCCGCTGTTCGGGGGGG